TGCAGAAGATATGGGTTCGATTCCTGTATCGGGAGAGTCTCCTGGAGAAGGAAATGGCAACCTACTCCAGTAGTCTTGCCTGGGAAATCCCATGGACAGAGGAACTTGGCAGGCTATAGTCCATGGGGTCACAAAAAAGTTGGACATAGCTTAGAGACTAAACAACAACAATCTTATTTTCAAATTTCGTTAAATCATATATTGCACATTGTTTAAAGTTATATTATTTTTTTACTTTTAAAAACTGTACAGGATTTCCCTGGTGGTACAATGGTTGAGAATCTGCCTTCCAAAGCAATAATTAAGAATCTGCCTTCTAATGCAGGGGACATGAGTTTGATTGCTGGTCAGGGAACTAAAATCCCACATGCCTCAGGACAACTAAGCCCACCCACTGCAACTGAGACCGTGCACCCCAGCTAAGACCCGATGCAGCCAAAAAAAAAATTTTGTGCACGTTTCAATGCCTACAATTATTGCATTGATACAGACTAGGGAATGTGAGGGGTTTTCTCTGTGAGTATTCAAGATGGGCTCCTAACACCTGGCTTCTCCATCTTTTCTGTCTTTATTTGATTTGGTCTGTGTGTTTTGACTTGGTTCTTTGGGTTGTTAACCACCGTTCTGGTTTAGCTGACACATTGACAGGGCCACTTCCCACTAGGTCCTCAGCACCTGGACATGGCCAGTGTCCAGAACCTCGATCTACTTTGGAACACCTTCAAGACAGAACGTCCACACTGACAATGCCTCATGCTGACTTCTCTGAAAGTAGGAAGCCGAGGCCTCCTGCTATAAGTGGCTTCTTCCGCTGGAGAGATTAGTGTTCTAATGTCACTCTGAACTCCATGCCTGGGAGTGCCCTGAGCAGCCAGGCTAACACTGGACTGTCCAGGCTGAAGGAAGACTCGTTAGAAGAGGTGACCTGACACTCCAGCTGGCTTGTCCCACATTTATCTTGAACCACAAACTAAACTGAAGGCAGAACAGTGGACCAGCCCATTCCCATTTCTCCAAGGCTGGATTTTTAAAAATCCCTTTACTGTTTCATGAGTCCTGTAAGGAATGGACGAGAACATGGAGAAGAGGGTGGAGGGAAGATGACTCTGAGGGCTTTCAAATGGCCTAAAGACACCTCCTTTGTAAGGCTTGGTCTCTTACTGGAAGAATTCAAATTCCATAAGACTGTGTTGGGTTTTATTCTCTCATATTTTTGGCCACTCTACATGTTGTGTAAGGATCTTAGATCTCTGACCAGGAATTGAACCCCTGACCCCTGCAGTGGAAGCATGAGATCTTAACCACTGGACCGCCAGAGAAGTCCCTGAGTTGGGTTTTAAAACTAAAGATGCTGCATCTGGCAGGTAAATGTGTCTTCTCAGGCCACGTGATGTGTTCCCTCTGCCCTCACCTGTGCGCTATCCGGACAGTGGCGCCCACTCTGTTGGTCCCTTAGAAACGCCCTGGATCACCTCGGGGCTGGCCTAGGGCTCTGCTATGGGCACCGGCAGGGTTCACCGGTCCCCACACTGACAGGCCCAACCAAGCTCTGCTGGCCTCCCCCAAATCCTTAAGCACTGCCTGAGCTCAGACAAAGATGCTGGGGTTCAATGGCTGGGAGAAGTCAACCTTGCAGGAGGCAGGCACTGCAGGAGGGGAACCCCAGAAAGGACAGAGCTTGCTGTTCTCAGCCCAGAAGAAGGAGAGTGTGTCTGCTGAGTGTGGGAAAGGAGAAGATGGGTGGGAACCCTGGGCCCCCTTTTTTGATTTAAAAAATTTTTTAATATTTTGATTAGAGGACAAATGCTTTACAATGCTGTGTTGGTTTCTGCCTCACAGCAATGTGAATCAGCTATATCCCCTCCCTCTCGAGCCTCCCTCCCACCCCTCGCCCCCATCTTACCCATCTCTGTCCTCACAGAGTGCCAGGCTGAGCTCCCTGTGTTGTATAGCTATCTATTTTACACATGGTAATGTATATATTTTCAATGCTACTGTCTCAATTCACCCCACCCTCTCCTTACCTCCCTGTGTTCACAAGTTCTTTCTCTTGTCTCTCTATTCAGCTCAGTTCAGTCGCTCAGTCATGTCCGACTCTCTGCGACCCCGTGATCCACAGCGTGCCAGGCCTCCCTGTCCATCACCAACTCCCAGAGTTTACCCAAACTCATGTCCATCGAGTTGATGATGTCATCCAACCATCTCACCCTCTGTTGTCCCCTTTTCCTCCTGCCCTCAATCTTTCCCAGCATCAGGGTCTTTTCAAATAAGTCAGCTCTTCGCATCAGGTGGCCAAAGTATTGGAGTTTCAGCTTTAGCATCAGTCCTTTCAATGAATATTCAGGACTGATTTCCTTTTGGATGGACTGGTTGGATTTCCTTGCAGTCCAAGGGACTCTCAAGAGTCTTCTCCAACACGACACTTCAAAAGCATCAATTCTTCAGCACTCAGCTTTCTTTATAGTCCAACTCTCATACCCATACATGACTACTGGGAAAACCATAGCTTTGACTAGGCACACCTTTGTTGGCAAAGTAATGTCTGCTTTTTAATATGCTGTCTAGTTTGGTCATAACTTTTCTTCTAAGGAGCAAGTGTCTTGTAATTTCATGGCTGCAGTCACCATCTGCAGTGATTTTGGAGCCCAAGAAAATAAAGTCTGTCACTGTTTGCATGAATTAATGGAACTTGGTGCCATGATCTTAGTTTTCTGAATGTTGAGAGTTTTAAGCCAACTTTTCATTCTCTCAGTTTCATCTAGATGCTCTTTAGTTCTTCACTTTCTGCCAAAAGGGTGGTGTCATCTGCATATGGGAGGTTATTCATATTTCTCCCGGCAATCTTGATTCCAGCTTGTGCTTCATCCAGCCCAGAGTTTCTCATGATGTACTCTGCATATAAGTTAAAAAAGCAGGGTGACAATATACAGCCCTGACATACCCCTTTCCCTATTTGGAACCATTCTGTTGTTCCATTTGCTTAGTTCCCATCACTAAATTTTGCTTTGGCTTTTTAACTTTTGCTGAGCTTGTGTGATCATGTTGATACTATATCTATAGAGCTAGTGTATTTGTTTGATAAGGCAAAACCTCTTATCCTCTCCACTTGTGGATTCTTATTAAGTGATTTAAAAAATAATGAGGACAGGAAGGGAAAAGAGCTCTTCACTGTCTTGTTTNCCGTCCAGAGCACAGGGTGCTCGTTACTTATTAGGGTTTTCTGATTCATCAGGGTTGTCTGTGGCCAGGGGCTGAAGGCCAAGGTGGCACCTCTTGGGTGATGGCCTTGACAACTGGGAGTGGGAGGTGGCTCTGGGGGAAGCCAGAGGGCTGAGAATGGGGGAGTGTGAGGTGGGGGCCACCACCTGGTTTTCTTTGGTGGTGGTTGGGGGGATGTGGCTGGAAAAAGGCAGAAGGAAAAAAGTCTGGAAACTGAGAGAATAGAGAAGTGTTGGTACCTGCGGTAACCCATAAGCCCGTGGTGCTGGGGAGAAACAGTAGGACACTCGAGTGAGGAATTCTGATCCCTGCTGTGAGTTTTCTGGTGGGTGTGGAAGCAGAGCTTTGGAGAGAGGGAATGCACCTTAGGAGAGAGGACTGGGCCCTGGGGAGTCATCGAGAGTCTTTTAGTGAGAGAGTGCCCAGACTACAGTGGTGGTTGTTTCAGGGGGCGTTGGGAGGGGGAGAAGGGAGGTGGGGATCAGGACCCTGAGGGTAACCGCACACTTTGGGTGCTTTTGGTCCTGCTCTCCCCCTACCTAGCCCACCATCAGAGGGAGAACAAGTTGGTGGTGTCAGATGAAGTGAGAAGGAGACGCAGGGGCCACAGGAGGCCGGCAGACAGGGAGTTGTTGTCTGGTGGGGCCCTTTGCTTGCCCTCCCAGCTGGGGAAGGAGCTGACTGGGCCGCTGCTCCAGCAGAATTCTTGGGTCTGAAGCCAACAGAAAAGGGTGACAGGTGGATCTTTGTGCCCCAAGAACCGAGATACGTGTCTCCACTCTCACCATGGATGAACTCAGTGGTCTCCGAAAGCTGGAGATTCTCAGCCTGAGTCCTGACCTTGCACATGACCCTGACCATGGTTTGCTGCCACCCCCACGGAGGGTGTTCAGAGGGCCAGATGGTCCGTAAGAAGAGTGTAGGCTTAGTAGATGGCAATTCCTGTTGTTAGGAATCTTGACCACTGGCCCCGTTTTTAAGCGGCCTGACTGCCATCCCCTGTAGCCCTGGGGTGCCCTGTGCAGGCTGGTTCCTTTGGCAGGCTCTGACTCAGCCATTTGCTGCCAGCATTCCTGCAGTGAGCCAGTTAGAGTCTGAGTCCCCTGTCTGAGGCATACAGCAGGTACCCGCAGTCTCTGCCTGCTCCCCTACTACCCCCAGTCTCCACTCAACTTGGCTCAGCTGAACTGGCTCCCAGTCTCAGCTGGATGGGGACGTTTTTAGACTCACTGAGTGATGTCAGGAGTCTGGGAGGGGCAAGCCTGGCCCTGGTGGGGGCAGCAGAAAAGGAAGTGGGTGCTGCAGCCACACTGAAGGGGAGGTTGGGATGAGGCAGACTGGAGAACCCCGGGGGCGGTGATCAGACTAGGTTTCAATTGATCAGGGAGAATTGGGCCGCTGCCATTTTGTTAGGGGAAGCACACTGATTGAAACTGCCCACCCTGGCCAGGCACCATCATAACCATTCCCATGAGTTGTTTTATGACAGGAGGTCCTGGGAAGGAATATGGAACTAATAAGCCACCACCAATTGGAAGAGTTCAGGAAAGGTCGAAAGGAGACACCGCGTGTCCGTCCACTTCCCAGAATCCCTCTCGCTAGCATCCATCTTGGCTGAGCGATGCGTGCGCCACCGTGAAAGACTCTGAATTAGAATGATTGGCCAAAGGCCACCGGGAAACTAATCCCATCACCATAAAACCTGAGACTGCGAGCGGCAGAGCAGTTCTCCTGGGTTCCCTCACCCTCCTGCTCTCCACCGGGTGCCCTTTCCCAATAAAATCTCTTGCTTTGTCAGCACATGTGTCTCCTCGGACAATTCATTTCCGAGTGTTCGACAAGAGCCCAGTTTTGGACCCTGGAATGGGTCCCCTTTCCTGCAACAAATGGCGACTCTGGTGAGACTGTTCTTTGCTGAGACTGACATCCTGACCACTCGGGGTACTCAGGGGCCAGCTTGCCTGCCAATGGACCAGACCCAGTGGCCGTACCTGGGACCCTTTTGTCCCTGGTCTCCTCCTGATGTGGACAACTGGCCAGAGTGCCCCCACCGGTAAGGAACAAGAGACTTTATTGACCTCTCTCACCTTTCCTCTCTCTTTCCTCTCCTTCCTTCTTATCCTTCCCCTTTTTTCTAGTCCTCCAGTCCTGGATGCAGGAATCTGGTCCAAGAGCCTCAGCCTGAGCTGAGGATTGGAGACTGATCACGTCCTCTTGGCAGAGAACTCGAATTCTGGTTCTGGTCTTGTTAGGGGAAGCACACGGACTGAAACTGCCCACCCTGGTCAGGCCCTTTAGTAACCATTCGCATGAGTTGTTTTATGACAGGAGATCCTGGTAAGGAATACGGAACTAATAAGCCGCCACCAACTGGAAGAGTTCGGGAAAGGTCGAAAGGAGACACCATGTGTCCGTCCACTTCCCAGAGTCCTTCTCGCTAGCATCCATCTTAGTTGAGCGATGTGTGCACCACCAGGAAAGACTCTGAATTAGAATGATTGGCCAAAGACCACCCGGAAACTAATCCCATCACCATAAAACCCGAGACTGCGAGCCACGTGGCAGAGCAGTTCTCCTGGGTTCCCTCACCCTCCTGCTCTCCACCGGTGCCCTTTCCCAATAAAATCTCTTGCTCTGTCAGCACATGTGTCTCCTCGGACAATTCATTTCCGAATGTTAGACAAGAGCCCAGTTTCAGGCCCTGGAAGAGGTCCCCCTTTCTGCAACAGTCTGGTCTGGTTTCTGGTAGGGCTGAGTTCCAGTCCTCTCTTCTTTGGAGGCCCAGGGTAAAGTCCCGTAAAGCCTGAGTATCTGCAGGGGGCAGGAGACGTCTGTAAGGCCACGCCTTTTGCCCCCTCTCCCACCTCCTCTCCCTTCTTTCAACCTGGCTTCCTTTCCTCCCTTTGAAATCTTTGAAGACCTGAGATATTTTCCTTTACTCTGTTAGTACTTGGATCTGAAGTTCTGTGTCTCTATAGAAGGTTTTCTGAGAGACTGAATTCTTGTATTTAAGGGAGTGTCTGATGAGGACTGCCAGGTTTATATGTGTGTGTTTTAACTCTGTTCTGTGTTGTGATTTTTGATGGCCATTTTGCTTTGTGTGGCCACCATTTGGTTTAGACCTGCCGCCATTTTGTTAGAACTTGATTTTCTTTCCCTGTGCCTTGAGACCAGGGCTCTCAGGAACACTTATCTAGACCATCTCTAACTCCTGAGACTGAGGGAAAAGGGGGGAAAGGCCTTAAAATTTTTATTTATTTCAACTGTTTTTTTATAAACTAGTAAATTTTATATTGTAATATCTAATTCATGACTAAACTTAGAAAATGAAACTAGATCTTGCACTGTGTCTGTCTAAATATGTCTTGGTATGTCCTTGTCTATGGGTAATATTTTCCAGGTTAATTTGTAAATGAGCTCTATTTAATTGGCTTAAAGAAATGTAAGTGCTTACAAATCAAGTAATTCTAAATTAAACAATAAATTCCAGGTTCATGTGAACTGGGAAATATTCAGTATTAAATACCTGATATTAGTGTTTGTTGACCTATCTAATATAGACATGTCTTAGAGTAATTAACATCAAGTAGAATATTTTCATTGTACCTAGGTTTAATATAAGTTAAATATTATATCTGTTACAAGTTTGTCAACAAGGAAATTACCTCAAGTGAAGAAACTNGGGTCCCGTGAGTGCAGGGCGCAAGTTACCCCGGTTACGAGCTGTCCAGCTCGTCAGCTGTCAAGAGTGCCATTCCTCTAGGTGCGAGAGGGTCCCACGGATCACGGGTCCCGCCGAGTCTGGTCCTGGGTCGCGGCGGCCGGGCCCGAGGCACTGCCGGGGAGCGGCGCTTGCATCCCTTTGCGTCGCGTCCGGCCGCCGTCAGGGCCGGCCCCCTCCTAATCCGGGCGCCAAGTTTCGGTTTCTCCGCGGGTTCCCGTCCATCCCGGCCCCTCGGGACAGTGCCGACCCTGCTCTCTGGCCGCGCGCAGCAGGTGGGCGCGGCGGGGCCCGAGCGCTTTCCCCGGGCCCCAGCGACGTTCCCGGGGGCCCTGCATCTGGTTGGACTCCCCGCGGGGAAGTGCTGGACTCCGGCTTTGAACCCAAGAGCACTCTACCCTGGGAGGGGGCGCGCCCGGGGCTGATAGCGGATGGGGACCGCCAGACTCGGGGGCCTCTGCCTGGACCCTGAACTGAATCCTGGGCTTTCACTAATTGCAACAACGGGAAAGTGATGTTGCGAAAATTGCCCGTTATCTTTTATTTGACAGTAACTTTTAGGAGACCAGGATCACTGCCCACATCACCCGGCCGTCCAGAGCACAGGGTGCTCGTTACTTATTAGGGTTTTCTGATTCATCAGGGTTGTCTGTGGCCAGGGGCTGAAGGCCAAGGTGGCACCTCTTGGGTGATGGCCTTGACAACTGGGAGTGGGAGGTGGCTCTGGGGGAAGCCAGAGGGCTGAGAATGGGGGAGTGTGAGGTGGGGGCCACCACCTGGTTTTCTTTGGTGGTGGTTGGGGGGATGTGGCTGGAAAAAGGCAGAAGGAAAAAAGTCTGGAAACTGAGAGAATAGAGAAGTGTTGGTACCTGCGGTAACCCATAAGCCCGTGGTGCTGGGGAGAAACAGTAGGACACTCGAGTGAGGAATTCTGATCCCTGCTGTGAGTTTTCTGGTGGGTGTGGAAGCAGAGCTTTGGAGAGAGGGAATGCACCTTAGGAGAGAGGACTGGGCCCTGGGGAGTCATCGAGAGTCTTTTAGTGAGAGAGTGCCCAGACTACAGTGGTGGTTGTTTCAGGGGGCGTTGGGAGGGGGAGAAGGGAGGTGGGGATCAGGACCCTGAGGGTAACCGCACACTTTGGGTGCTTTTGGTCCTGCTCTCCCCCTACCTAGCCCACCATCAGAGGGAGAACAAGTTGGTGGTGTCAGATGAAGTGAGAAGGAGACGCAGGGGCCACAGGAGGCCGGCAGACAGGGAGTTGTTGTCTGGTGGGGCCCTTTGCTTGCCCTCCCAGCTGGGGAAGGAGCTGACTGGGCCGCTGCTCCAGCAGAATTCTTGGGTCTGAAGCCAACAGAAAAGGGTGACAGGTGGATCTTTGTGCCCCAAGAACCGAGATACGTGTCTCCACTCTCACCATGGATGAACTCAGTGGTCTCCGAAAGCTGGAGATTCTCAGCCTGAGTCCTGACCTTGCACATGACCCTGACCATGGTTTGCTGCCACCCCCACGGAGGGTGTTCAGAGGGCCAGATGGTCCGTAAGAAGAGTGTAGGCTTAGTAGATGGCAATTCCTGTTGTTAGGAATCTTGACCACTGGCCCCGTTTTTAAGCGGCCTGACTGCCATCCCCTGTAGCCCTGGGGTGCCCTGTGCAGGCTGGTTCCTTTGGCAGGCTCTGACTCAGCCATTTGCTGCCAGCATTCCTGCAGTGAGCCAGTTAGAGTCTGAGTCCCCTGTCTGAGGCATACAGCAGGTACCCGCAGTCTCTGCCTGCTCCCCTACTACCCCCAGTCTCCACTCAACTTGGCTCAGCTGAACTGGCTCCCAGTCTCAGCTGGATGGGGACGTTTTTAGACTCACTGAGTGATGTCAGGAGTCTGGGAGGGGCAAGCCTGGCCCTGGTGAGGGCAGCAGAAAAGGAAGTGGGTGCTGCAGCCACACTGAAGGGTAGGTTGGGATGAGGCAGACTGGACAACCCCGGGGGCGGTGATCAGACTAGGTTTCAATTGAGCACGGAGAACTGGGCCACCACAATTTCACTTTCTCAGAAAATGAAACTGAAGCAAGGCTGTGGTCACGTGACAGGTGGCGGGGTATAAAGCTGGCAGCCTCAAGCCTCTGGCTTCCAGATCTGCAGAAGCATGCCGGCCCCAGGAATTCCTCTCCCTGGAAGTATGGAATGTCCTTCCTGTCGGCATGTCTCCAAAGAGGAAGCCCCGAAGTTCTGCAGCGAGTGTGGACAGAGGCTGCTTCCTGCAGCCCCCGAAGGAGTACCAGGTAAGGCTCCGATGGGGCTGGGAGCCTGGTGCAGGTGGTGGGGAGGGCAGTTAGCTCAGTCCCTCTTCCATCCCTAGAAGTGGAGACTTTGACCAGCAGGCAGCCCAGGCTAGCAGGTCTTCTGTGATAGAGAATTGTTTCTAGAGGAAACTTTCCTTAGAAATACAGTTTTTATCCACTCCTTTGCTGAAAGCATCTGTCACTTTTTAAAGAATTTCAGTTTCATTTCTTGGAGAGAACTTGGAGTTTCCTTTTTCCTTAGGGAATGGCAAGTGTTGGGCTGAGCTGAGGGATCTTGGCGGTTTTCAGAGGATGCTGTATAAAGTGGCATCCCAGGCCCCCCTGGTGGGGGAGGGGCCCCCGCAGCTTGCACAGGCACCTTCCTGATGAGGGGTGGCTCATGGGTGCATGAAGGAGGAGCCATGTCAGGTGGCCCTCACCTGCTGACTCTGGTGGGTCCTTGATTCTCTTGATGCCTGGGACATTGGACTGTCTCCCTGCTCCTTCTAGTACACGCTAGACATGCTCTGACCACAGGACCTTTGCACTGCCTGGTCCCTCGACTGGAACACACCTTTTCTTAGAGGGCAGCACAGCTTCCCCTATCCCTGCCTTCCAATCTTTGCTCAACTGTCTCCTCTTGTGGAGGCCCACTCTGACCACCCAGTTGCAAACTCTGCCTGCCTCACCCCTTCACTCCGAACTGCACTTCCCCAGGCTGTTTGTCTCAGTCGCACTTGGATGACACCATGGTTGGTCTTCAGAGACCTTTGCTGTCTCATTCACTGCTTTATCCCAAGTCTCCCTTATGTTGCCTGGAACACAGCAGGTGCTCAGTAAATATTTGCTGAGTGAACTGAAGAAGTTGCAGTTTGAATTAGGGATGAGATAGACGCCCCCCCCCCCCCCCCCCCCCCCCCCCCCCCCCCCCCCCCCCCCCCCCCCCCCCCCCCCCCCCNCCCCCCCCCCCCCCGCCCCCCCGCCAGTTCTTTTAATTGGTTCTGTTTTGGCTGCATTTGTACCAAGTGCTCCTGTTACAGATGCACTCTTTGGACTGTGAGAGGTATGGAGAGGTGGCCACTTTTTGTTGCACTTTTTGTTGTTGCCTTTTTAATTGATTTTTTCTTGTTGCTAATAATTTGGGAGGAGCTTGGTGGGCAGCCAGGTGTTCACTCATCAATTCCTGGTCCAGATGTTGAATCATAGCATGGCATGGCATGTTTGAAGTTTTGGTATCCAGTTGTAATTTCTCACCTTCCAGAGCTCCCCACCCTGGTCACTAGAACATCTGCCTGACTAGGGGGTCTTGGGAGGAGGGGTCTTTGGGACCTCAGAAACTAAAAGCACAAATAAA